TTTTCGTCTTTGGTCGTCAAGTGGTAGATTAGAAAGGAAAGTCTGATAGTCACTATACTGTATTTACTTGTATCTTATATTATTAGCATCATGATGATGGGTTATGAGATAAGTACGGAAGTGTCGGTTTAATTCCTTCGATTCATACAAATAATCACTTTATCAGAAAAAAACAATTAATTATATATTTATATATTCTCTATGATACATTTCTGATAATCTACTAACTGAGATGGCAGAGAAGATTTGTAGCTCAGGTGGATGATTTTGATATAGTTTTGTTCTTTGAGCTTTCATCGTTATTCAAAATGACATCATCAACACAAACTTCAGGTAGAAGTGAAGTGTTCGAATTTCTCCACATATGGCACACAGCTTGTCCTGTAGACCTTGATGTTGACTGGTTGTTGTTGACTTTTTAACCTGTCATTGTTTACTTTTTTATTTTGATTGTATCTCCCGTTGATATGACTTTTGTTCCATAATGATTGTTAAACGACCAAACTATACAACTCAGAGAACAAAACTCTTTCAAAATCTATTAACTGATGATAATCTGTTGGTAAAATTGAGATTAGTCATTTTAAATATAAAAGTTCAATAAGAGACCAACTGATGTCCGAATAACTAAAAGATAACGTCTCATACTGTGAAGTTTGGTGATGAGACTCAGGATCCTACCTTGAACACCAATACCCTTAAGATTTCAAGTATGCCTTGTCGATGAGTGCCAACTACCAGAAAACCTAGGTTAAGGATTTCTCGAAAATTACTTCAACCACCTCAGTTCATTATATTAATCTCTAATTGCCATTACTATCTAATATTTACAAAACAAATTCATAGAACTATTGTTTATCACAATACTAAAATATGTTTACATTTCAGTTTAAAATCAGGAATAAATTTACATGGTCATGGTCATTATTTACCACTGTTCATTATAACACCTCTCAAAGTAAAAATAATCGAACAGTTGTTGATTTTATGTTGTTTTCTAACCAAATCAAGTCACTAATTCACTGTTATATATTGAAAAATTTCAGTCACATAAACAGAAATTTGTTTTTTTATTTTATTTAGAAAAACATGAACATATCAGGATAACTTACACATTTTCATAGTATGGGACATATTCCATATTCGTTTGACACAGTCTATGTATTTAAAGCTTAACGATTAGCTAAACTATACAAACTATTTGGTGATTATAAGAAAAGATGGATGGTGACTAGCATTGGAATCCAGAACGCGCGACTCGTTCTATTTGTGAGTCGTCAGCTCGATCTACCTGTATTTGAGTTGGTTTTCACTCAGGGACTCGAATCCAATACCGTTCGCTTGAAACGCTACCACGTTTTCCATTAGTTAATGAGTTAATGGGGAGATTCAAACAAACAATACAAAAATAAATCAAATAATTAAGTGAGTAATGCGATGGCGTTTGAAGCGAACGGTATTTGGTCGGAGTCCCGGAGTGAACATCAATTCAGGGATGCAGGTACATCCAGTTCATGAGTCCCAAATAGGATGAAACGCGTGTCCTGGATTCCACTGCTAGCCACCATCCATCTCTGCTCATAGTGCTTATGACTTAAGATATTATCGAGTCAATTCGCTTAAGATGCACATATGCCAATAAGTGACCGATCAATTACAGTTCTAAACATCAATAGGAGTCAAACAAACAATACAAAAAAAACTTTTTCCTGATTATTTTTAAATCTCTTTTACTTTTAGATTGTAATTAACATATTTTTGTTTTTCTTACATGCAATGTGTTGGGCGTGTATGACATAAAGGGAATGGAACTTTGTTGATCATTTCATAACCGTCGCTTTTGTTGTTGATTACTAAGTATTTATCTAACAAGTTATACTATACTGACTGAAATATTTGCCCAAGTGTAATTGGTCCGAAGTAGATTACTAGTTTCATGAGCAGACTTTCCATTGCTACTTATATTCTATCTATACTATAAAAACTTGTGATATAATGGCTATATCAAAGCGATTCGCATAGGATAGACATATACCAACTGAGACTGACCAAAATTTAGTCAAAAATATCAACTACGCGGTAATTCCAAAACTGTTATAAATTGAATGAAGTTAAGAAGTGTTTGTTGAGTTTTCGGTAGGTCTCGGAATTATATTTGCAGAAAGATCATACTTTATAACTGAACATAGCATTCCATTCACATATTATCAACTCTGAATCGAAAGTCACCTTATTTACCAAAGAGGGAATCATGAAAAATTCTAAATGTATTCCTTAGTTTTATTCATACGACGAATCATTATTCTCAAATATGAACAATGTATAACATTCATATAAAGGTTCCCTTGTTAAAGTACATCAGTATTGTCATTAAACTGAATAATATTTTCACTTGTTGACCATAAGAAACTAATTAACCTTTCCTTCTGGTCACATTTTTAAAATAATTAACATAATCAGTATCATCAATTAGGTAGGAATGCACACTTCAACAAAAGATTTTTATAAAAAATATTCATATTTGGCTAGTTCAATTGTCAATTAAATTATCAATGTGTCACATTGGTACAAGGAGGCACCAAATATATATGCGCCACATTTCATCATTCGATTTATCTGAGGGCTGGCATAGTGTCCGGGTGCTCAGAGCGAAGCAGGTGGTTTTCTTAGGAAGCCACACCCCGAGCCTTTGACTTAGAGGTTCAATTTACAAGCCTGTGAAGCAACGTTAGGAGATGCAATCCCATGGTAACCAGTGACCAACATTAAGTTCATACGCCATTTGTTCCCCCAGGATACTGGACCCATGTGCACCATTAGTTTAGAATCAGGGTTTTCCAACTCCCCGGTTAAAGCTCCAGACTTTAGCTTTCCATCCTCTCAATTTCGTAAACAACACCCCACACCTCGAGAGTGCCGTGTTTCTGTTCTTTATCAGTTCTCAATTACTTTGAAATAATCTATTTATGTGAATTATTTAAATAATTGAAAATGATTGTAACAGGAGTATAATACATAGTTGTTTACTGATTTGAATTTTAACTTCAAGTTAACTAGTAAAATGAACTAAGCATCAGCTCCATCACTGTCCTGAAGTAAATATTCATTTATTATACTGAACAACCGATTACTTTAGCTAATTGTACGCACAGACATTAAAATACATATCACTTAATTTCATAGTTGAAAGCATGAGTCAATTGAAGCTAGACCACCAAGGAAAACCTAGAAGCTCTGGACGGCCGTTTTATCCTACTGTGGATGCGCACTGCTCAGAAATCCCACAGTTCAACAAAACGGCCGTCCAATGCTTCCACGTTTTCCATGGTGGTCTAGCTTCAATTAACTCATGATTTCAATTATGAGAATACTAAATTCTCCACAAAACCCCTTATGATATACCTTAATTATTAAGTACATAAGATTAATTCCCAGATGATCAATTAACCTCTGTACATCTATGATGAAGATAATTAAAAATCAACACTGTTATTTACTTGTTGGGAAAAAAGGAAAAGAAAAAGAAGAACCATCCAACAATGATGTCAATAATACTACTACAATAAAGAATATGATTGAACTATACAGACAAATAAACAAACATTGACATCTAGATTATACCAACAATAAAAAACTTCATAATTTTACCATGGAAAAAAAAGAAAAAAGAAAATTAGAATCAAAGTAAACAAGAAATAAGTCAATGAAACTAACATTAGAATTCTCGAACATCATTGCTTTATTTATACAATGCACCTCATAATAATAATAATAGTATTGGTAATAAAAATTAGGGAATTACAATATTTTCCATGAATAAAATGTTTTGTGTATCCTTTTTTTTCTTTTCTCTTGTTAAGAATATTTGACAGTAGATGAACCAATAAATCAATTTGACAACTATGACAGGCTCTGACTGGACAACTAATTTGACTACTTCATGTTTATTTACTTATCTCTCTCCCCCCTCTCTTTCTCTCTTCTATGATAGGGGGGGGGAAGGGGAATGTATGAATATTTTTATGTATAATTGTTTATGCTTGTATAATCCATAGATTGTACAGAGAATGTATATATAAACAGATGAACAGATGAATGGATACACATCTATACTCTTCATTAGTGAATTAATTTTCTTAACTTTGTTTTCTGTAAAGATTTTTTTTCTCTTTTTTTCCTACATTTAATATAATTTATTAGATAGAAACAACTAGATATGCATCATCTAATATTGATGTATGTATTACATTCAAGTAATAAAGAGATGACAGTATAATATTGAATAAATAACATATTAGGATTGGGAAACATTTACATTTATTATCTGAAGTCTAGTGTAAAAAAACAATTTAATCATGAGAAATATAGTTTACTGTTAGGTTTTTTAATCTTGTTTTTAATCTTCTGTGAATAGATTGTAGAGTTATAAATGGGATCAACTAACGACATGGTAAAACGTAATGCTGAAGTTGTTAAGTGCCCGTACTCTCTTTCTCTCCCCCCTCTCCCTATATATATATATATATACCATGGTGACAGATTTTCCGTGAGCCATCTACACCAATAAACTATCCAACTATGAGAATTCACCACCCGTGTCTTTGATGCAATCTAGTGACTCATGTTTATTTTTTTCATACAGGAAAAATAAGGACTGTAGATAGAAGTAAATTATGCTTCTTTAGGATAGATCATAATTTATGTAGACTGATTGTAATTTAATTTGTACTTGACTGTTTTCCAAGAACTGGTAACGCTTTTTTAACACACATCAGGACAGCTTTTTTAGTTTTTTTTCTGAAATGTACCATAGAGAAGAATAAGTCTTTTGGTGGAGTAATAGATTATCGTTTAAAATAAGTAAATAAGATGGTTAATAAAATGTGCTTGTTTAAATAAACGAAAAATAACCGATTGCCAAAGTCATTATTTAAATGAAAATGTTTAACTACTTGTCAGTAGTACAAAAATTATAAGAACAATTTGTTATTTATTCGTAGGTTAGATACTATAGCTAAACTTCTACATTCACATCCATTAACTCTATCTGGTAACTCACGGAGTTTACATAATCCAATCATTGAAATCTATGCTGAAAATAATCAATCACCATCTATTACAATGAATGCAGAAACTATGATACCATGGAACAAAGTACAAGGATTAAATTATCAGAATGAAAGACAAATTGTTCCATATGTCAACCACGAAATTCATACTGGTTCTACTAACAATAATAATCAAAACCATCAGTCAGTTTATGGATGGAGACGACAGATTTTTGATGTAAGTTTGTTCTGTTTTAAATTATCTTTTATGATGTGATATTTTAAATAAAACAGCAAACTCTTAATATAATATTTATACCAATACACTATGACCAAGCTTACTTACGCCTGTTACTCTCAATGGAGCAGAGATCACTGACCAGCATTCTCTGACCCCCTCTGTTCTGGGCTTTCATTTCCAATTCTATCCAACTTTCGTTCATTCTTTTCATGTTTGTCTCCATTTCTCGGCATAATGTGTTCTTTGGTCTCCCCCTTCGCCTTTGGCCTTCAGGATTCCAGGTGAGGGCTTGTCATGTGATGCAGTTAGGTGATTTCCTCAATGTGTGTCCTATCCACCTCCAGCGCTTCTTCCTCATTTCTTCCTCTTCTTGATTCTGTTTTGTTCTCTCTCATGGTAGATTGTTGCTGATAGTGTCTGGCTAACTGATGCGAAGTATCTTACGTAGACAACTATTATTAAACAACAGTAACTTCTGGATGATGGCTTCCGTAGTTCTCCAGCTTTCCGCCCATATAGTAGAACTGTCTTGACATTTGTATTGAAAATTCCGACTTAGGTGTTTGTTGACAGTTGTTTTGAGTTAGAGTTGAATCATTCTGCTTAATTGCTATGGCTAACCTCTTGAGACTATGACATCCAATAGTAACGGGCTAATGAACATGTACAACTTCGTCCTAGAGTTTTGATCAAAACTAATGAATGATAGTGACTGAACGGGAGGTCTGAACGTTTACTTTAAAAAAAGTGTCTTACACAGAATTTCCCCATATTATGATCATGTACACTGGGAACATGTTAAATGCTTGTTAATCTCAAATCAATTTACTGATAAATGAAATGGTTAATAGCTAAATTGAAAACTACAATGAAAATTCACACCAGTCTCAGATTTTGGTTGATTTCTGAATAATCTGTGGTTTAAAACTTTTTCATAATACGTGGGTTGTTTGTGGAGAATTTTAGTAATTTTTTATATATAGTTGAAATAATGAGTCAATTGAAGCTAAACCACCATGGAAGATCTGGAAGCACTGGACGGCCGTTTCGTCCTATTGTGGGACTCCTCATATTAACCGAATTCTCGAATTTAAAAAACTAAAGAATATAACTGAGCCACTGTAATTATTATGTAATGTATGAGCTTGACGTAAGTGTCAACAAACCAATATCTCCCTAACAGTTTTATAAATCTACCTTTATTTTTTTGTTTTTCTCTATAGCCTATCTCACATGATACAGCATGGATAGAGCATCATATCAGACAACGTATACAACGTTACAAACAATGGTTATCACCAAAACAATGGAAACAATTCTTAACAGATGATTCAACAACTATTGGTAGTCGAATAAATGCACCGGCTAAATTTAATCTTGCTTTATTTGAAGCTGCAGTGGTTGGTGTAAGACGTGCGGTAGCTGAATGTCGTTATCAATTTCGTCATGAAAGATGGAATTGTAGTCAAGTACTTGATGATGAAACTGCTTTATTTGGAAATATTTTACTGAAAGGTAAGAATAGAATTTTTTAAAATTTAAATTCGATATATACAAATTACTTACTTACTTAGGCCTGTTACCCCTCGTGGAGGAGCATAAGCCGCTCACCAGCATTCTCCATCCAACTCTGTCCTCAGCCTCCCTTTCCAGTTCTTTCCAGTTAACATTCATCTTTTTCATATCGGCTTCCATTTCCCGGCGCAGTGTTCTTTGGCCTTCCTCTTTTCCGCTTCTCTTCCCGATTCCAAGTTAGGGATTGCGTCGTGATGCACATTGGTGATTTCCTTAACGTATGTCCGATCTACTTTCAACGTCTTTTCTTAATTTCATCTTCAGCTGGAAGCTGGTTTGTCCTCTATCATAAAACGCTGTTGCTGATAGTATCCGACTAGTGAATGCTGAGTATTTTGCGTAAACAACTGTTTATAAATACTTGTACCTTCCTGATGATGGTCGTAGTAGTTCCCCACGTTTCAGCTCCATACAGTAGGACTGTCTTGACGTTCGTATTGAAGATTCTCACTTTGAAGTTAGTTGACAGTTGTTTTGAGTTCCATATGTTCTTCAATTGTAGAAATGCTGTCCTTGCTTTGGCAATCCTCGCCTTTACATCTGTATCAGATCCTCCTTGTTCATCAATGATGCTTCCCATGTACGGGAATGTTTCAATATCTCCCAGAGTTTCGCCATCAAGTGTGATTGGGTTGGTGTTCTCCGTGTTGCATTTGAGAACCTTGCTTTTTCCTTTGTGAATGTGGAGGCCTATCGATGCAGAGGCTGCTGCTACATTTGCTGTCTTCATTCGCATTTGTTCGTGTGTATGAGAGAGGAGGGCTAGGTCATCTGAGAAGTCCAAATCCTCTAATTGGTTATAAACTGTCCATTGTATTCCGTGCTTCCTCTCAGAAATCGAGGTCTTCAAAATTCAGTCAATCACCAGAAGTAAGAGGAAGGGGGAGAGTAGACGGCCTTGTCTGACTCCGGCGATATATACAAGATGTTATGTAATGAAGTCATTATTTTTGAAAAAATTATATGAATTCTAACCTGTATAAAATCATTACTGTTACTCTGAGGGAGTTCTGTAAATGTTTCATCAGTTATTTATATTTTGAGAACAAATTTCATGAACCACCGAAAATAGAGGGAAGAATATCCTTCATCTGTTGTCTCATTAATAAATAAATAAGTAGGTAATGAGTAGTGTTCGGTTTTCTCTGATTCTTAGATGTTTCTCAAATTATACCAACTAATGATGGAGACTAAATTCATGATATTTGCATTAATGTTATTTTCTTAACTAATAAAGGACTTCAGTATGTTCAACAAATCGGTTAATGTTTTACCTGGGTAAATTGTTATCAGTATGAGTATTTGTGGAGATTGTGGTATTATCACAGTTGAAATCAGAAGTTGATCTAAACTAGAGCAGTATCAAAATCCGAAAGTACTGGACGGCCATTTCATCCTAGTATGGGATTCCTCAATAGTGCCTATCTACGATCCTGAACATGAGACTCAAACCTAGGACCTTCGGTCATGAGCAAACGCTTAATCTGTAGACCACTGAATTATTGAACTTACATAGTCTGATAATACATTACATTTTTAATACCTTACTAACAATACATTTGATTTACAAGTGATTTGTTCAGGAACATCTTAGATACTAAAATTGCTTCCTGTTTTATAGACATAATTATTCCTGTAACAATAACATCAATCAGAAACAGATGGTTACTTGGAGTTGATATTTTTTTGTTTTAGATCACAATGGAAATTCATAAATAGATGGAGAAACGATTGCTGATTAAATGCTTGATAGAACTGGGAAAACTCAGAAAACACAAAATCTGGAGACATATTTATAGAGATTACTCTTAAAAGAAAATAAATGATGAATAGGTCTTTATTGGCTCTGGTGATTGGATCTTTTAGTTGATCCAGTGTTTCAGAAATATATCTATTAAAATAGCTATCACAATATGGGAAAGTAAAGAGAGCTCTACTTGTTATTTTGGAGTTAGTAAGTGGTTAGAGTATTAGAGTATTTCCAATCTTAAACCATCGTGTCATCTCAGATTCTTCTATATGATAAAAATGAAGGCAAAGATTTGCATTTATTTAATGTCAGACTATCCATTTGTATATAATTTCCAATTAAACTTCATGGTAATCATTTACAAGACCAGATACGTAGAATTAACAATTATTAAGAACCCTCTAATTGCTCTATCGAAATTTATAAAAGGGACAAATTGCTTTAAATTCTGGAAAAGAAGACTCCCTCTGTCTTGCATTAAACCTTTAGGATTGCTTTGATCGAATATTTCAATAACACGCAAAAGGTTGTGACACAAGTAAACCAACCTCAAAAAACTACACTTTCTGATGATTACATGACAACTTGTAATTCAACCTTGTGTTTGTATACATATCTATGTAGTAAAATGCAATTATTTTCTGCTGTTTAAAAAGTACTCGGTCTATTATGAAACATGAAATAAAGTTAAGGAACAGGGATGTTGATCAGTGACCTGTAGATCAATTACGAAATACTTAGACTACAAAGGTGAAGTTACTATTGTTTACAAACTAATTTATTTCATAAATGGATTCATGAGTCAGTTAAAGCTAGACTACCATGAAAAACCTGGAAGCACTGAACGATCGTTTCGTTATCGCATGGGACTCCTCACCAGTGCGTACCCAGGATCCCACCCGTGTGGTAAGAACCCAAAACCTTCGATCTAGCGCGCAAACGCTTAAACCCCTCAGACCATTTAGCCGGCGTCCAGCAGTGTTAATTTCTAACTTCAACCATTCCACGAAATCGAGTCACCGTCCACCATTGTCTAAAGCGAGTTATTATCTCACAACAGACCTGGTTGAAGTCCATTGATCACAGCTTCTCATTAGAACTCCAGTAAATATCTCTTGAAGCCATTCTCTAGTGAGCACATGGTGGTTATTATCATCAGAAACGGCCATCCAGTTCTTCTAGGTTTTCCATTGTGGTGCAGTTTTAATTGACTCATGAATTCCACTGATAAATTACTACAATCTCCACACAACCCCTTTCTGATAATCTATTTCAGTTAGTCCTGTGACTCCATGATACTCTTTTGTAAGTGTTTAGTAAACTTTACAGAAACTTATTTATTAAATGACTGAAAGGAATCATAATAATTAACTGAAGTTTGGAGTGAATTAATACAGATTTACAATATTTTACTATCATATTTTATTTTAAGGTATACCACAAACTGCATTTATTTATTCAATTATCAATGCTGGAATAGTTCAATCTGTAGCTGAAGCATGTTTAAATCAAATCGATAATTGTCCATGTAATAATCGTGGTAGACAAGAACCATTTTCAGATTGGCAATGGCAAGGATGTGATCATAATATTCATTATGGTAAAAGATTTTCACGACGTTTACTTGATACAATGGAACGTGGTTCACATATAAGATTCGAAATGAATTTACATAACAATGGTGTTGGTCGACAAGTAAATTTTAAATTTAAGCTCTAAATTGATGAATTTTCATGTCTGTCACATATTTTTTACAATATAAATGTAGAATAATAGTATTTATGAGACTAGCTTATTCTATAGACATTCGGTATATCAGTGGCTAAAGAAGCCACTGACAAGAAGCAACACTACGGAGTAATTTAAAGATTTACCAAGACACTCTATAAGGTGATTCTGATCGTTTTGTCAGATAACTTAACTAACTAAACAGATCTTAGTAAAGATACTTGACTTGATACTTTAACCTAGTGGGTACATAAACCACAGGCATTTAAACATTAATTGTAATGTATAAGAACTCTCGTCTAAATTAGAGCGAATAGTTTCACAGTATTCCTTGAAAAATATTGGACCAGATTGCCAGGCGAAACGTTGGATTTACTACAAATTCATTCGCTGAGATTTTACAAATATATTATTCCTATTTAATGTATTAATTGTAATGTTTGAAATTTTCAATGTAATAATAAACCAATAACGCATCTATATAGCTTCTTTATGGAATGGTATCTTCAAAGAACCATTTTTCTATACTTTCTATGAAAAACTAATGAAAACAAAAGTAGCCAGCTAGATCTATTGAATGTTACATTTGAGGTTGATGCAATTTCGTTTGTTAACATCAACTGAATTTTTTTTTCTCGAACAGATAGATTGTTGCTAGTCTTAAAATCCAGAGTGTATGTTTGATCCTCTTTGTGACAAGTCATTTAAATAAACCTTGATCCCAATGTTAACCCTTACATTGAGACTAGATTATGGGATTCATGATTTCAGTACTCACTAAAATAATGATAAGTTAAGATTAGATGTCAGAAATAAGATTAAATGATGTTCATAGATTCTATCGGTGTCAGATGGTTCATTGTTTTCTAATTGTTTTCTTCTAATTTTCGGCTATTATTATTGAACATTTATCATTTTCCAGTTGTTTAAATTTATTTAAATACCCACTTAGTTGTAACTTAAACTTTATTTTATTTTATCTTTAGTTAGTTATTAAAAATATGGAGCGTTACTGTCGATGTCATGGAACAAGTGGATCGTGTACTTTGAGAACCTGTTATCGAAGAACACCAAGAATGAGAACACTTGGAACTTTGTTAAAACATATATATGATCATGATTTAGTACAAGTTAAACTAGGTGAGATATAAAAAGCATTTATTGTTGATGTAAATTAACATTAAATATCCCATGAAAAGGAAATCTAACTGATGAAAAGATCTAAATAAATCATCTAGTTTTTCAAAAATCTCTATCAACGAGTGAAACATGTTGCTATGGGGATAGTTTGTGGATACGAGATACTTGTCAACTGGATGAATGTAGATGATTAAACACTTCCAAGTTTTAATTGTAATTCATCAGTAATTAAGGAAAATTTGGAAAAAGATGTAGTAAGAATGATAGATTAAGAATGTAAGGTTGAATCTGTTATCTTTGTACACACAGATAGGGTTTGAATTAGTGAATTTCTAAGGCCTCTTTTGTACATAAGTCTTTAATTTATATTGTCTTACAGTCAAATCGTTTGATTGCATGGTTGACTTTGAAAGCGGTTTCTTGTGGAGATGTGTGACTATAATTTACAAGATTTTTCAGTATTGAACTGCTAAATAACTTGATGGATTTTGTTAACAGCCGAGCAGGACGATGTTTGGGAAAAACTTTCTTTACATAGTCGTCCTTAATTCTACACTACTGACATCGCGAATGTACTAAGTGACAATGAATAAAATTGTTAGTTGTAGGAATATTTTAAATAATTAAGCTTAGTTCGATGTTCGTCAATTTTCAAACCTATATCGTGACATGTTTGTCCAAACGTCAGACAATCGTAACCAATGTTTTGACGCAAATATTTTGGTTAATGTGACATCATAGTATTCATGAGGAGGTTGTAGAATTCAACTTAATTTGTAGATGGTATTCATCACAGACCAACCTTAGTCGAAGTACCATTGGAAACTATAGAATATCGGATATCAGTTTTATCTTAGTCTGGGACTCATCGAGAGTGCACATCCACGATGTCTTCAGGGAGCAGAGTCTATGAATTTCGTGTATAAAGGCGAGTACTTAACCATTAAGCTATTTATTTTGTGTTTGTAAAACCTCGGTCGGGTAAACTGAAAAACGATATCTTTCATGGTTCATTTAGCAAGTGAAAACATGTCAACAGTGATAGAAGATTGGTCATTATGGGTGTTGGAGACAGTCCTATAATCTTCAATCCAAACCAACCCGGTGTATTCATAAACAAATACTTTTGATTACTAAACTGGATATTTAGCAACTGGAAGTTATCCACAGTAGTTGTAGTAAAGTAATCTACTGCTTAAACTATTTATTGATGTTTTAAACAAATAAAAATAATGTATTTGTAATATCACAATGAGTAGAAAAATTAAATCCTTAAATGTTCTGAAGTTTCGTGATTAAGTACAGGTCACTTCTTCAGAGAACAAATAAACAAATTAAATTAACACAAATGTTACAACTGTACAAAGGAAGGAAGCAAGAATATTTGGTGCAATCAACTAAGAAACAGGTCTGACCATATCAATGTCATGTCATTCCGATGAAGGTGATTTATTTGAGGCATCGTTTTGTGTATTTGTATGTGTTTGTGTATGTATGTATGTATATATGTTAAAAGATGAAAAATGTAAGATTTGTGGTGCAAGGGAATAGAGATGAATTTGTGTGTACGATGATGGTGTGAGATGTGAATAGAATCAGACATGGCAGCTGGAATAGACGGTGGAAGTTGGATGGATAGTGAGACTTTCTTTTCTATTGAGGGCAGTAGGATTAAGTAATCTATGGAGAGCTTCAACTACTCACCTTTCTCTGTAGTTTGAAAATACTTTTTCTATTATTTTGATAATTTTAATATCAATTTGATTGACATTGAAAATGACATGGACTGTTATTGCTTTTTTTAATTTTGAATGTTTCCAGTTCTATGTGATTATTGGGCGGTTTCTTTGTGTACATAAGATGTTCTTTGATCCGAGTCAATATTTCACGAGATGATTCTCCAACATAGAATGCATCACAAACGATACATCCTAATTTATACAAGAGAGATTTCTGTGAATATTACTGTAATTTAATAGTTGAGTTTATGAGTCAATTGAAGCTAGACCACAAGGGAAAACCTGGAATCACTGAACGGCCGTTTCGTCCCAATATAAAACTCCTTAGCAGTGAGCATCCACGATCCTGCCTCACGAGATCCGAACCTTAATTTGTAGACAAAATTTTGTGTTGACATAAAAGGGATTTTTTCCTTTATGCGAACTAAGGTATTTTGAAAGATGTCCGCTGTTTTTTCAATACACTTTAGTTCTTTGTTGTTTTAAGACTCTTTAGAGTTCTGTTGTATCATAGCTTTATAGTAACAGTATACTACCAATACGGGGTATTTCATTCGGATTATCATTTAACGGTTAAACGTATCACTTTAGTGTACTCTTAATAATCATCACAGGAAAACTATTAGATTATATGATGTTGATCATGCGCTTCCGCCCTTTTTGTCTATCCTCTTCAAATGTAATAATCTTGTTTGCTCTTTGAAATAGATTTAGGGCTCGAAAATTTTCGCACTTAATGAATGTGCTGAATTGAAGTCGATATAACAATAGGAGTGTGTTGGTTTTCGGTAGATGGTTAGATTTAGAGCTGCACTTGGATTTCTTTCAACATAGCTATTTAAAATTAGTAGCTCACCGTGTTCATTTTCATTTTCGTGAGTAAATTTAATGTGAAAAGATAGTGTATTGATCAGTTTAGTAAAAGAACTTAGGTGAGTCTTTTTTTACAAAAAAAGAGTACCATCTATATATCTGAACCAAATTCGTGCTTTAATGTCATTAGCAAAAATGTATGATTCTATATGTGATATAATCAGGTTGGCTATAATCGGGGACACAGAGGATCCGATTGCTACTCCGTTTGCTTGCTTGTAAAATATCCCGTTAAAAGTAAATATGGTTGAATTTTAACACAGTCTTAGGGATTTCATGATTAGATTGATGTTATTGTAAACAAAGCTCACATCTTAGGTATATAATAATATGTTCTAATATGTGAAATATTTCATTTGAACAAAGCAACTTTTCAAAAATATAACATATGCTTACTAGTTACTGACTCTAAGAGGTATTTCCTGGAGTTCTAGTGAGAAACAGTGACCGATGGAGTTCAACCAAGTCTGTTGTGAGATAATAACTCTCTGAAGACAATGATGAACGGTGACTCAATCTCATGGAATGGTTGAAGTTAGAAACTAATACTGTCGGACGCCGGCTAAATGGTCTAGGGGGTGGAGTAAGCGTCCGCGCGCTATATCGAGGGTTTTGGGTTTGAATCTAGCAAGGCGGGATCTTGGATGTGTACTGCTGAGGAGTCCCATAACATAACGAAACGGCCGTCCAATGCTTCCAGGTTTTCCCTTGTGGTCTATCTTCAACTGATTCATGATCTCAACTATTAAAAATTTAATAGCATAGTATTCTTGAACAGTCTCTTCAGAAAACACTACTACTACAATAAAAATAGAAGACCAGTAAACTTTTCATAAATTTTATATATTGTATTTAATCTAACTAACTATCATAACATTTTCTTACCAAATTTCTTTAGATTCCAATAGACTACGACCGATACGTAGTAGCACTTACGAAGAAAAACTGGAGGCTTCTTCTTTATCTACATCAAACCATATTAAACAATCATACTTAGATAAAGCTGTCAAATTTATACCAAAAAAACAATTAACCCCATTATTATTATCATCATCATCAACTATAAACAATGACAATCATTTAAAGAAAAATTCTAAAAAATCTAATTTAATTATTATTACCAACCCAGCAACTATTCATTCATCAATATTAATGAAACCAAATATTAATAATAATAATAATAATAATTCAATTCATCCATCATTATCCCAATTAGTTTATTATGAATATATAAATGAGAAAGCATTTTGTGATTCTTATCCATTTTATCATATATTAGGTACAAAAGGTAGATTATGTAATTCATCATCTAATTATATGAATAATTGTCGTCATTTATGCTGTAATCGTGGTTTCATAACTCATCATTATTATATAATGGAATCATGTCATTGTAAATTTATATGGTGTTGTCGTGTTGAATGTCAACAGTGTTTAGTTTTAAAAAAAGTTGAAACATGTATTTAATTATTATAATTATACTACTTAAAATGAAGGATTTAAAGTAGTATACAAATTATTAGATGTTGAAAATAATTAATCCCTTTTGATAAATTTGGATAATACCAGAAGAAGATGAAGTTTATCAGAATTATATGATATATATGTATTTGTGCAATACATTTCGAACAATCTGATTATATATAATATACTTGTTAAGAACATTTATATATGAAAGATAAAAGGTCAGCTAGACAAGTGAATGATAAGCCGTATACAAAAACAATGTGATGATCACTTTAGATAAATAAATCAGGGTAGGGTTAAGGGTAAGAACAACCTGTTTTTGAACACATATAGGGGGTTTCAATTTCCGTGTTCAAAAACAATTTGTTGTTACCCTTAACCCTACCCTGATTTATTAACTAGAGTGATCATCACATTGTGTTTTGTGTACGGCTTACCTTTCACCTGTCTAGCTGACCTTTTACCTTTCATATAGAAATGTTCTTAACAAGTATATATCATATATGATCAGATTGTTTGAAATATACTTCTCAAATACGTCACATAATTCTGATAAACTTCATCTTCTCATTGTATTATTTCCTGTTTATTAATAAATGTAATGAGGTTAAATACATCGAGTTGGACTATTTGACTTTCTACCTCGAAAAATGTATTCAATATTCAATTGCCTTAATTGATAGGTTGTTTTGATAATTTTTTTTGTTTTTTCTTCTTTTCTGTTTAATACATACACACACACACACACATATCCTTTATCATTGTTATTCTATTGTGTTTTATATGATAAATGTTCGATTGTCATTAATCATAATTGATCATTTTCAATAAGAATCATAAATTTTTATTGGTTCCGCCTCTCTTTTTTTTTGTATTAAGCCTCATCATGATTTAATTGTCATGCACAATATATTAAAATAAGAACATTCTTTTTGTAATATTAAAAGTAATCCGCACAAATATACATATTTACCATGGTGACTTTTTTGTTATATCTTATGGGTTTGTGCCCCAATTAATAAATATGATGTGACGATGCCACCAATTAGAGTACAGTGAATTATCGATCGGATCAATGACGCTTAAAACTCCGTACGAGCAGTCTAGAGTACTTATCGGTACTGTTTTCTGTCTAGTCTAGCCAGTTAAGTTCAGAATACGAATAACAGTCTCTGTGGTATGAATCATGTATTTCAAACATACTGGGTTTGTATACCAAAGGGAAAAGTAAAACTCTCTCATACAATACAGCATGCACCAATCGAATTACACTTGATGGAGAAGCTATGGAGGATGTGAAAACCTTTACATATCTGGGAAGCATCATCGATGAACATGGTGGATCTGATGCAGATGTGAAGGCTCGTACCGTCAAAGCAAGAGAAGCATATCTGGAACTCAAAATAATTATCAACCAACACCAAGATCAGAATTTTCAATACAAATGTCAAGACAGTTCGACTGTATGCGGAGGGGAAACCTGGAGAACTACGAAAGTCATCTTCCACAAGATAGAAGCGTGTATTATTATCAGTTGTCTACGCAAGATACTTCAGATCCGTTGACCAGACACTATCAGTAACATTCTACTGTGGGAGAGAACAAACCAGATTTCAGTGGAAGAAAAAAGCAGGAAGAAACGCTGGAAGTGGATAGGAAACATATTGAGGAAAGCACCCAACTGCGTCGCAAGACAAGCCCTTACCTGGAATCCTGCAGGCCAAAGGATAAGAGGAAGACCAAAGAACACATTATGCCGAGAAATGGAGATAGACATGAAAAGAATGAACGGAAGTTAGATAGAATTGGAAAGGAAGGCCTAGGACAGAGTGGGTTGGAGAATGCTGGTCGGAGGCCTATGCTCCATTGGGAGTAACAGGCCTAAGTAAGTAAGGGTTTATATATCAACCAGATAGACCATATCGTACCGTAAAGTAAGAAATAACATATGTACAAGATTTAGACAAATGTGGCTATGAATAAGGGAGATAGTAATTGATAAACAGGGTATAACTTAAGAATGGTAAATCGTATAATAATAGTCTATAGGTCAAAATAAAGCTTATCATAAGAGGGACATGAATATGAATAGTTTAGGTATTTAACAATTACACAATAAGAATATACGCATAGTATTGATCCATAAATGAATTCCACAAATTACCATTTATCATTCTTATCAGGATATAACAGAAGTTCAATAAATAGACAAATCTATCAAAGAGAAATATCTATAATCAATCGACCGTTTACGATATATCCATTACTGGTTAAGGTCTGTTTATAATGATTAAACAGCGATATAATCACCTACTAGCACAAACTTGATGTATGTAACTAAATATACATGTAAAATGTTAATGCTAATTGTTTTCAGTAGTCATTAAGGATAAACAGTTATTTTTTTGGAAAACTGATATATTACAGAAACATCATTATTGAATAATCATAGTAGTAACGATGGTAACTCAGTTTCCTAGACAATCAATGTTCATTCCCACCCCCACAATTTAACAGCATAGCTGTTACTGTTAGTGTTACATTAGTAATCATTGTCCAACAAATTGTGGTCATATTCAATTGATTTTGATACACTTTTTAGCTGAAGATGATAAAGACTGTATTTACACAAGCAATGTACATTTTGCTTTATAGTTTTACTTTTCAACAGTTCATTACTTTGTATCCCAATTGTTACTCACAAAGTTTTATCTTATACTGTTAGTACTGTTTTGAAGAATGTATTATATTAAAGAACATACTCATCTATGTTGATTCTATTAACGGCAGATACCCTATAGGACTGCGTCATTTACATTATTTATTCCCTGGATAGTAGTTAGTGTCATGTTTGTCTGATCTTTAGTACAGACCTAACATCAATATATAAGGTCAAGTCACTTAAACTAATACCAAGTTGCAGCTTGGTCGACAGAATTTGATCAACACTGAGGGCTAAAAAATAATGGCAATGGTTACAACCCAGTGATCGGTGTACTTATGTAGAATGATTATTTAAAAAAACCAATCATAATTTACTTAAGATTATTATTTGCCAACTGAACTTTTATGGATTACAGACATTTGATAATTTCAATTCTACATTTCTAATGGGTTGTAAATCAGGTTACTTGGCATATTTTGAGTTTGGGTACCATCATTCAGTTGTTAAAAAATTAATCATTTTAAAGAATCATAGTGTAGTGAACAGAACACTGGTTGGGGACAACGGATTGTATTTAAGCAAAGATTACAGACTATCTCAGTAAATTCTGAAAACCATACAATGTACAGTCAATTTGCAAATTAACAACCAATAGTCTCGATCTTCACTGTTTCTTCTCTAATTCCATTGTTCGTGCATTTTCCTACCGATTGCGCTTCGTTTCAGTTCTTTCGTCATCGGTCTTCGGCCAAAATACATTCTATGTCTGACCAACACCATATACTACTTATATAGATATAAGTAGATCATACCACAATAGTATACTATTTTATTAGTTGATTAAATCTTTTGAAACCGATGACTGCTTGATTTCCAATCCAAATACAATACATTCGTTCGTGACCATCTAGTACTTCCTGATTAGGCTGCGTTATTTATGGGATTCCTAGTTTGTACTATAATTAAAATGCTCCTAACTATCACATTGGCGTCTCGATGGAACCTGCGACAGAACAGTTGGACATTCATTCAACTTCTGAAGCTTTTGAGGATTATTTTGAAAGGTTTGAGATGTGGAGTGTGGCCGAGAAAGGTGTGAAGGGTGATAAAGTTGTGGAACATTTCCTCACATTCATCGGTAAAGCTTACAGTTTATTATATCCAGAAAAATCTATCTCACTTCCTCATACATCTCTCAAGGATCTACCATTAAATCATGTAAAGTGCACCAGTTTTGAATGTCGTGAGAGAGCAAAATTCCATAGGCTGATTCTTCAGAATAAAATTTGGTCAGGGAATTCATCCTCGCATTGCAAAGACAAGTTCCTAATTGCAATTTTAGTGATCAACTTCATGTGGAGCTGAGGGATCGATTTATTGCAGGAATCAAAGAACCGGGTCTGGAAAAAGAGCTGTTAATAATGCCAAACTGTTCCTTTAAAGATGCTAGAACTGCGTGTATTAAGTACGAATCATTGAACGACCTTGATATCCAGTCGATGAAAATTTTTAATACTTTGCTCAACCGTCGTGATGAAGTACAATCTCAGGGTCGATCAAAGTTGCTTTCGTTTATGGTGATTCGTATTCTCTTGAAAATATGAAAGGTGATTCGACAAGGAATTACAGAGCAAAAAACAAAGGTGAGAGCAAGTTTGGTAAATGTTTATCCTGTGGAAAAATTCTTACTCGTAGCTCATGTGCATTTCGTAATTCTAAGTGTTTTAAATGTGATAAGATAGGACACATTCAGTCAGTATGCAAAAATACTGTTGACTTTGCTTCAATTAGTACTAAGTCTTTTATTTTAGATCCCAATAATTCGTCTGTTCCTAATGTTCATTTATCTTTATTCACAATTTCGAAAGGTAATGTTCATATTCAAAAGCGATTATACACATCCCTTGGTTCATTTCACGACTTTATTACGGACACAGGTAGTATAGAGTCCATTATTTCATACAAGAGATTGAACTCTTTAGATCCTATGTTGTAGTAAGATCCACTGAAGTCTCAATATTGGAGATTGCTGGACAGAGACTGCCCATACGGGGATGCTGTGAATTGCTAACATGAGATGATAATTCTTCACATATACCTTGTGAATTTTTAGTTAGTAATAATAACAGGACTGTCAATACTAGGTTTAAAAAACTTTAAAAGGCTTAAAGTGTAGTTGTCTTTATTAGTTTCTAAAGAAAATACGGATGCTGCTTGTGCTAAGAGTAATGGAGGCATGAAAATTCAGCCTATAAGGCTTCAAGTACAGGGTGATCCAGTCTTTCTTAAAAGACGAATAATTCCTTATGGTTTTCGAGAAGTAGTACTGTAGCTGTAAATAATTCCCCAAAATCAATAGCTCATTAAGTGTTCGACATTGGATGCTGACCACGTTGTTTAAGTGGACTTGTTTAGCTGAAGGCTTTCGGTCATGCACCCGTACCAGATCACGTTGCAACACGGCGTGGGACACAGCTCCTACGTTCATTAGCCAGCTTATAGTAAAGGTTCCTCGATATATTGGTAACGTATCAAATATATCTTTCCTACCTCTCCTCGTCTGACTTCTGGTTTCTATTTGACTGGGAACAAACGATTATAGAAGATACTACTGGTTGCTAGTTGCAAAACTAGAATATCCGTTGTATCCTCAGTACATAAGACATTGAACGATTTGTGTGCGAAAGGTATAATTGAACTGGTTCAGTCCTCAGCATGGGGTACTCCTATTGTTACGTCATTGAAGACCCCTAGAATATGTGGTGACTACAGATTACCATTGAACTCTCATTTGTTGAAGCAAACGTTCACGACGTTAGAGGCTGAAGATATTTTATATCGACTTCATGGTTCTAAATTGTTTTTCAAAGCTGATTCACAAGATGCCTATCTTCAAATCCCTTTAGGTCAATCTTCACTTATTTTGACAATTAACACTCTTTTTGGTCTGTTCAAATACAACTTCCTTCCATTTAGTCTAAGCTGTTCTCCAGCCATATTTCAGGAAGTTATGAATAGGTTGATCAGTGATCTTGAAGGTGTTGAAGTTTATAAAGATGATTTCATCGTTCATGGTACTGACAAAGTAGTTCATGACCATAGGCTTATTGCTTTATTGCGTCGTTTAATTGAGAAGAATATTACAGTGAATCCAAATAACTGTTCATTTTTGTGTACCTAGTTTCGACTGTCTTGGATGCCCAATTGATAGCTGTAGTTTTAGACCAGATATGAAACAACTAGCGACACTGACAAATGCACCGTCACCAAAAAATCTTACAGTACCGCGTTCATTATTTGGTACTCCTCAATACTA